GGACTTAATGCAACCCTCTTCCGAGCAGAAAAAAATATTTTTAGTGGTGGAATCACGCGATTCTTCACTTGAATCATCCGTACCGTCATCAGTGCTGTCTTGGTGCTTTTGAGATGTTTTAGCAACCTCAGCTCGTCTCGGCTTGATATGACAAAATTAGCTTTTATGTTTTCGCTTGCTGCACTGCATTCCAGCGTTGGAACTTCGTCCTGGTCAGGAACAGGAAACTTGCTCTAAGGAATGAATTTGCCTCTTCCAATTTTGTAGGATCTCCATACTTTCACACACAGGAATCCAACTCTGTAACGTTCGATAGCTAACTTTGCATTCTTGTAAAATTCTGTTAAGGCGTCAACCAGCCGTTTAGGCCAGCTTCGGCCTCTGTATGTGCGACGTCGTTTGATATCACTAGTTTATTCAAGTGGATTTCCATGCAGTTTCTTCTAGGGCTGCTATCATGACTTGTCTTGCTTTACGAATGTGGTAGCGTTGTGTTCTACGGGCTATTGAATCCCATGATGTTAACAACTGATGACGTACAGGGCTGACATCCCTACATGCTAGGAATGCATTGAGTGCTTCTCTAGAACTACCTTTTGCCTCTTTTCCGCCATCGGAATCTTTGGAGCTCTCAGAGATGGGTGGTAAAAGCTCCCAGGTGTCTCCGCGGTCAATCCCGGTGGTATTTCAGAACTACTACAAGTGCCTTTTACCTCTTTTGCGCTTTCAAAATCTTCTGAGCTCTCAGATGGGTAGTAAAGGCTCTCCGGTGTTTCCATAGCCAATGCCGGGAGGTTCATGTTTTTCTGGAGTAACTGAAGGATTCATTGGTATGTCACTACTGTTGGTCTGAGGATATATTCAAAGCACAAGTTTGAGTAGCGGTTGTATGGCTTGGCACTCTATTTACAGAATTTTTTTGCACTGCAGCAGGCTCGTCAGTGCTCTTGCTTCATGAAGCCCTCCTACATTACTCACAACTACAAATAGAAATTTTAGTTAAACTTTATTTACTTCTTCAGAAAGTTTTATTGCGTTAAAAAAAGGTGGTGTAATTCCATTGAACCTATCGATTAGATTGCTCACCATCTTTAGATCCTTGAATGCAAGCGTTAGTTCATCAATCTGTGACTTGCTTTCAAAACACTCTCTGCATTTTCTACAGATACTTTTGCAATGGTATAGAAGAAACAGTTATGAAAACGATAATGGTAATGATAATGACAATGATAATAATAATGATGTTGATGAGGTTGATGATGATAATAATGACAATGATGATGAAGACGATGACGACAACAACGATGACGAGCTCAACGACTTTCAGTTTAACTTTGACATGGAGCTCTCCCTTCCCATGATCGAAAAAATGACTACAAATCGTGGGCAAGTAATACAGAAAGAGAAATCTTGGCCTAGCCCGCATTCTTTCTTTTCCTCGTATTTGTGCCTATTTAAATGACATCGACCGACCCCACTCGTAGGTCCAAATTATTCTGTCACACGAGCACGATTTGCAATTATGCAAATTAGGTCAT